GTGGGGAGGGCAGGGTAAAAATGCAATAAATAAATAAATACAAATAAAAGCTTTCTCGAAGTCACAGTAAATGACATCTATTGTGTCCCCCTTGTCCACATGTTTGTTCACTCCCTCAAAGAACACTAACAGGTTAGTGAGACAAGATCTTCCATTACAGAACCCATGCTGAGCCTGCCTCAATAGTTTTTGTTCATCAATGTGCCTACTAATTCTTTCCTTAATAACAGTTTCCACCAACTTACCCGGTAACGACGTCAGACTGACTGGCCTGTAATTTCCCAGATCTCCTCTGGAACCATTTTAAAAGATGGGAGTGACATTTGCTACCTTCCAGTCTTCAGGAATGGAGGCAGATTTTAATGAAAGATTACATATTTTTGTAAGGAGATCCACACATTCACATTTGAGTTCTTTCAGAACTCTTGGATGTATGCCATCCGGGCCTGGTGATTATCTCATCTTCCACAGTGAAGACAGAGGCAAAAAATGCATTCAGCTTCTCAGCCATTTCCCTATCATCCTTCAATATTCCTTTTACCCCTTGGTCATCCAAGGGCCCCACTGCCTCCCTGGCTGGTTTCCTGCTTCTAATGTATTTGAAGAAAGTTTTATTGTTGGTCTTTATGTTTTATCTGTGATGCTTTACTGTAGTGCTGTTTTATCTGTGATGCTTTATTATAGTGCTGTTTCACTGTTTTATATTGTAAGCCAACTTGAATAGTTAACAAGAGCACAGAGCAGATGGATAGAAATATTCTAAATAACTAAAAAAAATCATTTGTAGAATCATTTGTAAAGAATAGGGGAACCAGATTATATCTGAAGAAATATTCAGACTTCACCATATATAGGAACAGATGAAGAAATAACATCTGGGACAAAAGCTCTATAGGGCTAAAAACTGAGTACTTTTAGGAGAAAAGCAGGCTGAAATTAATTTAGATAAATAAGTGACAGAGTAATATTTAGGTGCTTCCAAAATAAGTATCACTGGTATATAAAAATATTCCATCAATCTGATCAGTGCTTGATAGGAAAATACTTGTGGCTGCAGAAGAAGAGGAAGAAAAAAAACAAGCCCAAATTTAACCAGACTGTTACTGAAAGGTCATACAATTGATTCAAATCCAGTACCTTTGTATTTGGTCACCACCGCTGAGTTGATGCTATGAGGTTCTTGGAAGGTGACAGTGAGTGATGTACTGCTTGTTACCATGAGGCAGACGTTGGTCGGTGCCTCAGGGGCTCCTGGGAGCAAAGAGAAAACATCATGTCTAGTGTGGAACAAATACCCTTCAAACAGTCCTCAGGGTCTTCAAAGAAATAAGTAAAAACTGTAGTGAGCTTTGTTCTGAAGATGTTTGCATTGACCTTTTGAACACTAATGAGCAGCCCATGCTAATGAAATCTGATGGACACCATTTGTTTTACTGGTGGCCATCATCCCTTTTGGATACCCCCACCCACCCCAGTCAAAAGCTTCCTCAATATGAGTCAATAGAGGAACATGTATACACTCTTAGAGGTCAAAAAGGGGACAGAAAAGAAACCAAAGAACTCATTTTTACTTCAGTATTTGATTAAAACTATCAATAAAAGAGCAAGCACATATATCATATTGAATTTCAAATGTTTTATGTTTTTCCCTGTGCAAAATGAATTCTTGTTTGTAACATAAACTTTGCAACAAATTTTATTCAGAATGAAACACTGGCACATTATATTTTGAATTTTTCATGAGAATGATTGGTAATCCCTTTAACAGTGCAATCGTAAGCAGAGTTGGACCCTTCTAAGCCCCTTGATTTCAACGGACTTGAAAGAGAGTAATTCTGCTTAGGATCCTAGTGTAAATCTAGGCTCTAAGACACTAGATGTAAAGAGTTTTGACATTAAGCTGAAAAAGAAGAGAGGTCCTCAAGGACATTTTTTACTTATAAAGAACTAGGCAATAAATTAAAGAACTGTAATTGATTAATCAGTTACAACTGTGTATTGCTAAAATTTCAGCACTGATGCCTTATTGATATATTGACATAACTGTTAGATATTACAACTGAATAAGGAAATAAGGAAAAAAGAAAGAAATAAGAGACAGAGTGAGCTCCCGTCTCTAGTTCCAGCTCCTGCCAACCTTGCAGTTCGAAAGCAAGAAACTGCAAGTAGATAAATAGGTACCACTTCGGTGGGAAGGTAACAGCGTTCCGTGCGCCTTGGCATTTAGTCATGCCGGCCACATGACCACGGAAACGTCTTCGGACAGCGCTGGCTCTTCGGCTTTGAAACGGAGATGAGCACCGCAACCCTAGAGTCGGACTCAACTGACTTTCGAGCAAGGGAACCTTTACCTTTACTTTAAGGAAAGGTTACTGTTAATCCTAGGAAAGGACATGTTTCATATTTCCTGGTATAGTAACGTTCCTGAATCAAAATAGCCTCAGAAGTAAACACATGCCTTTAATTCATAGTCCCACCAATTAAATTTGGCCCTCATAAATTAGTCAACAAAGGATGTATTTAATTAATTTGCCGATTAAACCAACTGAATCTTTCTGCCCTAATAAACACACAATTTCTATTGTAAAAGTCCATGGATGTCAATGAAGAGTAGCTTGTACCGATGGTTTGTAATTTTAAGAACCGTACTGAAAGGGAGGTAAGGGATTCACTTTCTGTTGAAAACAGCAGTCCTGGACTTAAGAATGCACCAAATAACTGCAAAGAATAGAATTGTAATACATCTAAAGCATAAAAAGAAAGGTTTAATAGCGAAAATATATAAAATAATACAATCTCCACTACAAAATGCCACTCTTAGTTATCAACAAGCCTGGTCTTCAGATCTTCAAAAGCAGATTACGGAGGAGCAGTGGGATCTGATTTGGAAAGCACATACAAAGCAGTCTAACTCACTCTATGCCTATGAGGTTAACATGAAAGTCCTTACCCGATGGTATCTTACCCCGGCTAAACTAACACATATATTTCCGCATATCAAACCCCTATGCTGGAAACAGTGTGGGGAAAAGGCATCCTACATTCATTGCTGGTGGACTTGTACAGTTATAAATAAATTTTGGCTTCTTGTTATTCAGAAGATCAAGGAACTAACTGGCTATGACATTCCAGCATTTCTGTTGTTAAATTTATGGCCCTCTGATTTACCATCTTTTTCCTCAATGAAAATGATCGGCACCCTACTTACTGCGGCAAAAATAGTTATAGCCAAACATTGGAAGGACCCCAATCCCCCATGTATACAGAATTGGTTACATAAGGTGTGGGACCTATTTCTGTTAGAGAATTTTAACACATTTCACTCGGAAACCCAAACAGAATGTGACTTTAGAAGTCCACTCCATGATTGGTATCCTCTACTAGACAAAATCAATATTGACAAGTTTGACTGGGAAACTCTTAGCAATGTTAAATATAAACTATTATTGTATAACTGATGTAAACACTGTATAATGACTACTTAGTTCTGTAACATTGTTAGTTATGGTTGGGAACAGCTTTGTTTGCATCTTGACCTTCCTATTGGATATGTTGATTTGTACACAAAATGTTAATAAAATTTATTTAAAAAAAAAAGAATAGAATTGTAATAGATGGGCTTGCGCTTCTTCTGTGAGTGGATGGCGGGATAAATCTCCTTGAATCACACCACCCACTGAGTATTAAACATGCTCATGATACTTATTCTGTCTGTACCAGCTTCTGCAGCAGTAAAACAGAGGTTAATGGCTCAACATAAATACTAATGAGGAATAACTGGATAATTGCTGTGCTACAAATCATCAGTGGATTCCTATGTAGGGGCTATATTGTGTATGCATTGCTTCAGCCTTGGTTGTTCTTACTGGAGTGTTCATAGCCCGCCTTCATACGCTTGTAGAGCCGGTATCTCCACTCCCAGGCTTTCCGCTGTTTCTCTTTCTCTGCACTGTCTGTGCCGAGCCCTTCGCTCATCACTTGTGCAGACAAATCGCTCACTCGTTGCTGGGCTTCTTGTACTAAGTTGCTCAGGTGGATCGACCTGCTTTCCATATTGACAACTGGCAGGAGAAGGGAACAATGTAAGTGCCAAGATATTGCATAGCAAAATATCCTGAATTCGTTCAGCTTTGAAAAAAGATGTCATTATCTCGGCCAAATCTGGACAGAAACTTTTTGGCAGAGCTGAGTAAATACCATTCAAGAGATACAACCTAACATCTTTCATTACATTGCAAAGTATTCTGGGGGAAAGGGCATCTTTAACAGATCTGTGACCCACCAAAATGTATGCAAACAAACAAACAAACGAACACCTGGTACACTTTAATTCTGCCCTTCCTCCAAGTTCCTCAGGAGAACGTACATTATTTTTCTTTCCTCCATTTTATTATCACAACAATCCTACGAAGTACAGTAATCTCAGAGACAGAGAGAGACAGAGAGAGAGAGAGAGGCCCAAAGTCACTCAATGATACTTCAGGATTGAGTGGTATGTTATACTGCAACTCTCTCATCTAACAGTCTGACTGCTGTACTGCACTGGCTCTCCCGTGGACCAAATGCAGTGGTCCACCAGAAATGCAATTTATGACCTCTTTACCTTCTTGGGAATGTAACAGTATGGGTTTGTGGGACAACTGGCTGGCCAAAATACATGGCTGCAAGGTTATGATTGCGGTGGTTGTTCAGGCCTTACCTGCATTATAGGATCACATAGGGTTGCACTGGCACCTCTAAAAATATAACTATTCTTAGCAAGCACTTGACTTGCTACCCTTAGCTTGGCATGTAGTGAAGCAATCAGGGACTCCTACAGCAAGGGAGGGGGATTGTTAGGGACATCTTCCCAGCTGCACAGCAACTCAGCTCTGTTTTTGGCTCCTTTCAGTGTGCAGGAAGAGCTGTGGCCAGGGACAGGAGTCCTTGGGTGTGAGCTAAAGGTCAAAAGGCAAAGACCTATTTTGCCCTTGGGTTGTAGCCTGTCATTGTAGACAGATTCATAAAGCAGGATCTGTCCAGGATTCATTTGTTTTATTGAAAGAGTAGTGTTAATTTGTTCTGGAAATGTCAGTAATCCATTTTGGATTCCTTTGGAGAAAAGCAACATACAAATGCCTTAATAATTAAACAAACAGACAGACATTCAGTCTTCATTCCAGATTGTGAGAAAGCCTCTCCAAAGTTTCCTTAGATATTTGGTTGGCCATCAAAAGTTCTCTCTGGGGTGGGTGATGCCTGTTATCTGATTCAGTATGGGTTATGGTGTCTCTCCACACTGTCAAGAAGTATTAACAGTGTGATGTGGCACATAACTGTGTAATACACTAACTTGTACATTAGAACACAAAATTTTACTCAAAATTAAAATTTTGCAAAAGTTGTATTTATTTATTTAAAACCTTTCCATACTGCCTTTTCACACAAATAAGGTCCTCAAGGTGGTAAACATCAAAACATTCAAACATTTTAAGATTAGAAGTCAAAGAAGTCAAGAAGTCAATATGACAAAAAGGACTTTGATGTGTATATAAAATAAACAATTCAATAAAAACATATGAATACACAAACAAACATAACACCACAACCAGGGAAAAGGGCCAGTAACAGTTATTTCGGGGTATGCCAAATAAAACTAAAGAGTCATCACCTACTGGACAAAGACACTGATAAAGGTGGGTGGAGAAATCTCACCGGGGAGGGAGTTCCAGGGTTTTGGCACTGCAACTGAGAAGGCCCATTCTTGGGTTGCCACACATCTAGGCTCAGATGGCAGGGGCACCCAAAGAAGAATTTAAAGACAGCCTTTTGAACTCTGAACATTCCGAAAAGTTGCTTTAGATATTTGGTTTTGAGAGGTATATTTTAATGGAAACAGTAAAGAGAAATTTTGAATCAAAATGCACCTTTAAATTTTGCAAGTAAACTTTTGAATGAAGAATATTTGAGACTCAACCCCTTCTCCATTTTCTTCCAACGTTGTTGTCCTCACAAAGAGGGTCAGTGACCCTCTTCATGTTCCAAAAGCCACATCTGTCATAGCAATAGAATTAAGGTCCCAGTCCAAATGTAGAAGCATGCAGGATCCAGAAGTGTATACATGTAGCTTTGGTTAGGGGGTGAATATCATAATCATTTGGGGGGGGGGAGAGAAAAGGAAGTGCAGGATAGGAGGACTAATTTCAATGCATATGTGTGCAATGACAACACAACACAAATTTAAAAATCTGACTTGTATCGAGGGGTTTTTTGGGGTGTGTGGCATTCCATTAATGTGCAGAAGAATACATGCATATCAGTTAACATGGAGAGAGACAGAGAAACTATCTCCACGCAGTCATATATGTGACCTTATCAAGACTGGGGATGTTGGGAATTGGGGTCACACAGAGTGCCCATCAGGATCAGTAATGCAGAAAGCTGGAAATGCAAATAAGCTGTGACAAACACCACATGTTGCAATGCAATAATGCATTCTAGAAATCCTACTACTTAAAATGAATTTAGATGGAAGCAGAACAGAGTGCACAGCAAACTTCCAGCACACTAGAGGAATGGAACTGGGGAAACCCACTCATATTTAACTTAATCAGGAGTGTGTTCATGCAGTATGAGCTGGGGGGGGGCAGTAAAAAATCAGTGTTTTAAAGATCTGCATATACTGGAGCTGAAAAATATCAGTTTTCCTGCTTTCATAGGTTCCAGATACTTTTGTAGTATTCAGATCTGGATTTTTTTTTGTGGGAGGGGGTGTTCCAATATTTTTCAGTTCCATTATTCCCTATGGGGAATATTTCCAGGGGGTGGGAAATGTGTTTTTTAAGGTACTGGCACAAAAATTTCAGGGGAGCTGCTGGTACTTGTCCTTTAAACAACCCCCAAATTTCACAATAATTGGACCAAGGGGTCTAATTCTGTAGGCCTCTGAACAAGGTTCCCCTAGCTGTCCTCCATTGTTTTCTGTGGAGGGAAAAAATGAAGAATGTAAAACCCAAGAATCTGAAACTATGTAAAACACAAGAATCTGAAACTATAATGCAAGAATCTCAATGTAAAATGCGAGAACCTAAAATAAATGGCAAACCCCATACAAACCAGCAAAGAATGAACTTCTTAAAAATAAAAATCCTTGGAACTGACAAAAGCTTAATTAAATCAGCCCGGCAAGCCAATACCAAGCCTCAGGAGGCACAAACACAAGGAGGAAAAGGGAGGAGAACAGTCCTGGGATACTGCAAACACTGATATTCCCAGTTTATCCTGAATATTTCTGGGATTTTTTGGTGTCCCAGATATATTTGGAGACCCAATTATATCCAAAAAATACTGATAAGGTATTTTTCAAATATATATTTGGCTCAGATATATCTGAGTGCGTATCCCTTATCTGAGCTAGTGGATTAGGCAAGGGTCTCTCACACACATTACAGAGAACACAAACCCCATCCTGTGTCCTATGCAACAGTCACCCATGACTTGCTGGTTTTCCTCAATTGCCATGTGTGTGGTGTCAGTCTGGATGGTGACTGCAGCGTGCATAGAGAAGGGTCTTCAGCCTTTCCTCTGCACCACCTCCATCAATGGCAGTAGTCCTTGATGAATGCTATTTGGCCTGCTGCGGAAACCTACATGTACAAGGCCTCATGGGGTGACCTTAAGCCACTTACCAACAAGACAATATGTGAGGCACAAGGCAGGTTGGGAGCCCCCTGACCCAACTTGTGGACACACATGCCATTGGGGAACTAATGTTCCCAAGCATGCTGGGACCAAATTTGTCTCAGGTACAGGAGGGTAGGCTGAAGCCTCCCCTCCCCCTGTGCCATGATCTCAAGCTAAATTGGGTACCACTGTGCCTGGGAGTTTTAGTTCCCCAATGTCATGTGTGTCTGCAAGTCAGGTCAGGGAACTCACTGTCCAAACTTGCGTCACATATACCATCTAGTTTGGCCCTTAGTTTAACACTGCAATCCCATGTAGAGTTACTCCAATCTAAGTCCACTGATTTTAGTGGACCTAGACTGGAGCAATGCTGAATAGGATTGCACCACAGCTAGAGTTGCCAACTCCAGACTTGGAAATTCCTGGAGAGTTGGGGGGGGGTTTGAGAAGGTGAAGGACTTTAGCAAGGTATGATGCCATAGAATCCACCTTCCAAAGCAGTCATTTTCTCCAGTTTTCCTGAGAACAGTGGTAATTCCAGAGCTCCATATCCCACCTGGAGGTTGGCAGATCTAACTCACATCAGGGGTGTTTTTCAGAGGATAAAATGGAAGCAGGGAGAACTGTGTGTTGTGCCCTAAGCTCCCTGGAGGGAAGGTGGGATAAAAATGTTGTTGCTATAGTTCCCCATCTAGCTGGAGATATATATGTATAGCTTTTGGCTGGATTGGGGTCACAATCCAAAAAATTGCTAACAGTATATAGTTGGTAGGCCCTATTTTTAACAGAGTGGTTATAGATTCATATTTTCTGTATTCACAAGCATGTTTGGATTAATGACGGGAAATGGATACTAATTTATGATTGCTTTTGTGTGCTATCTGACTGCATTTATTTACAGATGAGGTCAATGAAAAATTAGTTTAGCTTTTTTTCTTAAAACGCTGTTTAGAACACTCAAGACTATGTTTCCTGTAGATTTGTCATCCCTAATGAATGCTGCTTCAGCCGTCAATCATGTCCTCTGAATCCTGTCACCCTTGAGTTCCTCCCCCAAGTTACAAACCATGACAGAAAAATAAACAAATAAATATATAGCACACAACTCTTTTCATTGAGCAGCTATGCTATGCAAGAAAAAAAAAAACTCCCCAGGGAAGGTTAAAGGAGGCCAGGATAAATGATAATATAAGTTCTGTGGACACAGAAAATCAATAAAGGTCCACCAACATTGAAAGCCTAGGATTTTAAAAAAAATATACACTCTCACATACACACTCAGCCCAGTGGAAAAAAATCAGCAATATTAGTAGCCTCAAGGTGCAATTTCCTGCAGCTTGGAGATTGACAGGTCAGTACTAAATGTTGTTAATTTAACTAACTCTAAATTAATGGCAGA